TTCTTATATATAGTCCTTCTTTATCTTTTTATTTTACTTCCGAAATTGGTATCTCTTGGTTTTTTCCAACTTAATGATAGGTATCTATTACATTTCATTTGTTTATTTTACTTCCGAGATTAGTATCTCTGGATTTTTCCCACTTTATCATAGGTATCTATTACATTTCATTTATAACAAAAAAGAAGAAGACCTTTTAATAATAGCTAGGATGGATTACGAAAATGCAATTTAAAAAATTATCTTTTAACATGTAATATGATACCGATCATGAAATGAGAAAAAAACAAAACACAATTTTCATTTGAAAATCACACAAACTTAACAAAAATTCATCGGAATCTATTCTTATCCAAGAGAAATTGAACATACACATAACACTTGTTGCATGATGCGTATAGTCGGTTCAACATATTTTAATTATACTATGTCACAAAAAATAATAAGAAACTGGAGAAATACGGTTATCAGCACTCTTCGTATTGATTCATCAATATGATTCTTATTATAACAACATATGAAAAAATACGCACTATTAGGCTAATATCCAGCTTTGGTTACTTCCAACTAATTTCAATATCATACATTTGAAAATACTACTGAAAATTGTCGAACTACAGCAGCAAATTATTTCAGCTTATATTATACTTAATCTATACTATCTTGCACTAATTCACACACATGGATTAGTATATAAACATGTATATTAAAATAGAAGAAGAAATTCTTTACCTCTCAGAATCTATGATAGATTTGTACAATAAACATCAAATAAATGATATGATTAAGACAAAATAAAAAATATTTATAATTTTTTTAAGATTGGCGAATAAAACAAGGATTAATATTAATTTGTTTTTCTTTCGGATTGATCTAATAAAATATTATCAATATAACATCTAAAAATAAAGAATAGATATTTAATTAGAACAAAATCAAATACAAATAATTTACTTTTAAAAAGCTTCAATTTCTTTATTAAGTGCATCCATTTCATCGATATCATTAACTTGTAGAATTTGTATATCATCAAAATGTTCTTTAACATTAGAAAGAAAATAAATGAGACAAATTATTATCGAATAAATACCTTCCAATCTATGAGTAAGTATAGTTGATGATGGAATATTTAAACCAGTATTACTATTAAATAGATCATAAAGTGAAAATTCATTTGAAACAGTTGATGTTTGAGGTTGTTCATCATGTGAATGTTTTCATTGAACTTGATTTGAACTTGTCACAGGTATATCATTCCATGTTGGATCTGAATTATCCATAGCATAATTCATTAGTGAATAAGTTGGAAAAGTAGTAGCACGTAATTCCGATGAAGGTTGCTGAACAGGATTAGATGAATGATAATCATTTGAATTCCAATGAAAAGAAGAAGTTTTATCTTCAACTGGAAGAATATCATTGGTTTTATTTGCTTGAACAAGAGGAGAAGATGGAATTAAAACTGGTGCTGTTGAAAGAAGAGTTGATGATGGTTTAACTAAATAATCTATACCTTGTATTTCTTCACGATTTGACCAAGTCAATGATGATTTAATCGCTTGTTTTTGATGATTATTTACTGGATTTTGGACATGTATTGCAGGAATGTTTGTATTATGTTGTTGTTGTTTAGTACTATTTGATATTACTTCTGGTGTGACTTTTTGTTGAGTAAGAATTGATGTTCCAGATTTAGTGTTTGTCTATTGTCATTTTTGCTTTGTATAAATAGGTGCCGATGAAATAGGTGTTGATTTATGTTTATTTTGTTTATGAGAAATTGCTATCCAATTAATTTCTTCTTCAAAACGAGAAGAATTTTCACACGAAGATTCAATAGCTGTTTGGAATAGAATCAATGTTTTCAATTAATTTTCCTTGTTGATCAGATTTTACTTTTGCTTTTTGTTTTCGCTTTGATAAAGGTTGTGGATTATCAGGAATTGAAAGCATTTCCTAAGTATATCATGAAAAAAAACCACAGAGATATTTCGTTGTGCTTTGTTAAAATATGTCTTTTTCAAATTTTAATCGATTTTTTTCATTGATTTTCAATAATACAACTTCACTTTGTGTTTTATTTAACAAAAAAGTTCTTTTCTCTTTTTCAAAATCAAAATTATATTTACAAAATTATTTCAAATTTTACAATTCGATTATTTCCTAAATCAACTACATAAAGATTTCCTTCATCATCAAAAGATAAACCACGGGGACCATACAATTGATTTTCTTTGCCATTCCCACCAACAACAACTTCACCTTTTCCTTCGCACCAACGCATTATTCGATCATTCCCACGATCTGCCACATATATTTGACCCAAATCATCAACAATGACTCCATAAGGTGAAGACAACTGAGTGAGATTTCTCCCTTCACCATTTCCTCCAGCCACAATTGTTCCTTCTTTTGAACCTTTTTTCCATTTCATCACACGATCATTGTCAGAATCTGATACATAAACAGATTGATCTTCATCAACAAAGATAAAAGTAGGACCATATAATTGATTGAGTTGATTTCCTTTTTCGTTTCCACCAGCTACTACAACTCCTTCATTGTATTCACCTATTCTCCATCGCCTCACTTCATTCTTTACACGATCAGAAACATAAAGAAATCCTTGTTTATCCATTGCCAAGCCATAACAATCAATATTTTGAATGAGAATTTGTTGAGTTTGATTCGTCCATTGAATTACTCGCTTGTTCAAAGAATCAGCAATGATGATCGAATGACTTTGTTCATCAACAATCACATCTGTTGGATGATCCAA